TCAGACAGTACCAGGGCCTTTGCATCATGTCTGTGATGTGGAGGACCTGGTCACACATCAGTGACACATTCTGGGTTTGTGCCAGCAGAACTGTCACTGCTGAGAGCACAGCCCAGGCACTGAGAGGGCTTTCTGACCCGAGGAGGACAGAGGCAGAGCTGTTACAGAGAAGCAGGAGAAACCAGGGGCCAACAGAAAACAGGATGTGCTTTCCAACAGGGGAGAGCACAGACAGGGTCGCTGGGACCTGCAGCTGCAGTGGTCCAGTGGTGCCTACCAAGAGCCAAGGACAAGCCGGGTCAGTTCAGCCCATGCCAGACACCCAGGTGTGCCAGTAGGTCACAGCCAGGCTGGTCTTGCAGCACCTCAAGCTGAGCACACCCCTTTGACCATGGCACCCCACAGCCGCCTTACCTCAACTCCCCCCAGCACCGCTGCCAGCTCTGGGCATGTGACCATCTCCACCCAGAGCCGCAGGCCTGGCCTGCCGCAGGGAGCAGGGGGCACCCACACCAGCCTCACCTCCCACGGGAGGGCACCAGCAAGCCACAGGCCTGCAGAGACCAGTAAATTCATGACAGAGGGGCTGCGAGTGAGCTGGGATGCCTGTCCCCATCAGTGCCTTCATCTTCCCAGTGCCGCAGGTCCAGTCTGCAAACACTGCTCAGGAGGCCAGAAGAGGTGTTTAATACCTACCTGCAAGGTGCACAAGGTCCCTCCCTAAAGCCTGAGCATGCCAGGTGATACTACTGCAGAGCAGGTGTCAGATGTTTCAGCCTCTCCCCAAATTATTTTTACAAGCTCTTCAATTGCCTGTCACAGGAAGATGCCACAAGGAGACTTGAGTTCTCTGAGAGGGGAAAGGCACCCAGATCAAACACACTGACAAATGCAGCCTGTGACAGCAATTGCTGGATTACAGTGTTTTAAACCTTATGTTTCGCATCTGGTTTGTCATGGCTGTTGTAGGTGGGCTCAGTGCACGGTAAATCAGGATAACAAACCTACATTTACCGTGATCCTTTCATCCCCTAGGATCCCAAAGCACATCATTTAATTGCACTCAACCTGCACATAGATTTCATAAATAAAGGAATGATGAATTAGCACAGCTCCTGCAGCATTCACATGAGTTACTAAGACACAATCTCTGTGTGCAATCAATCTAGCCTCATGCTTCAGTGTTTTGTCATAAATTGAGGTCAGGAAGAAATGTTCTCCCTACCTGGAATGCAGCACTGCTAAACTGGCTGAATACAGGAAGACATTTAAGGGTGTAGTAATCTGTCTTCCCCATGCAAATCTCAGAAATTGTTGCAAATATTCATTTGATGGAGCTCCCATGCAGTAGCTGAGCACTGATCCTGCACAGGGACAGGGGAATGTGATGTAGGGTTGCCAGGAGAGATTATCTGCCCCACATTAGGCAGGAAGAAAGCCTGGATGATCCCTTTGACCTTAGAACTGGTATCTCATGATTCCCTTTGTCCAGCAAGGGGAACAGAGGAGAGAAGTGAGAGTCCTCGCCATGCCCCGACACAGAGCGGGCCTGGTCTGGAAGCCCCCCCAGCCTGTTCTAGCCCCTGCTGATCACCATCAGGCTCAGGCTCTGTTTCCTATGCAGAGGGATTCTAATGCTGCTTCTGGAAACTAATCGGCCCAGGAGCCTTCTTATGGGCAGAGGGTCAGTGGAGTTCCCTGGACCTCCTGACAGCGTTGTAGCTTCCAATTTCATGTTTATCTCCCACCAAGTGCCTCAGAGACACCAATCAGAGCTAAGTCCTTCTCTGGAGCCTGACGCTGCCCCAGCCCTGGCGCGGGAACAGGCAATTTCAGGCATCCTTGCCATGTGCTTCCTCATCACGCCTCAGCCGCAAAATCCCTTTCCTGCTTCCTGCAAGGAGTGTGAACTGTTCCTTGCACTTTGGCTGGTAAAAAGGATGATAATTACCCCTAATCGGTCTGCAGCAAAAACACAGGCCACAGCAGAAGGAGGGGGGGCAGCTGCCATGAGGAATGGAACCCAATTATTCCAAGTCACTGATAAAACGGGATCAGAGGGTGGAAAAATGCCCAGAGCAAGGCTCTTCCTTGGAGAATGGCCCTTTCTGCCCACAGGCCATCCCTGGCTGGGACCTGTGCACATCCATGGGGCACTTTCTCATTTTTCTTTTGGTATAGGTGGAGAATTTCATTTCTGTCTCTGAGGGTGCGCAGCAAGACAGTTTCCCCAGGAGAAGAGAATGGTAACATGGGTGTATGGAGCAGAACAAGTGCTTTGTCTGCTGCCCCGTGCTGAGCTGCTGCGACCCTGCCGTGTCCCATCCTGATCGCCCAGGTGTCCCAGGGCCGGGCAGCGATGGGGTGAGGGGCAGTGCTGTGGAGTGGCTCCTGGCTGGTGTCCGCGGGGTGGGCAGTGCTGTGCCGCTGCCTGCCATGGGTCACCCTCACTCCCTGTGAGCCCCCGCTGCCCAGAGCCCCAGCCCTGGGTCGCCGCCACTGAAACTGGGGGAGGAGAGTGCAGAGCTGGGCGGGGGTGTGGGCAGAGGGGACACCAGCGGGTCACCTCAGGCTGTCCCAGCCTGCAGCACAGGGTGCTGCCAGGGCACTGAGGGGTGGCACAAGCTTTCTGCCAGCTCCGGGCATTGTCAGCTGCTCCTTGGAGCTCAAGACAAAGAACGACCCCATGAAGCTGCCCCAGCCAGCACCAGCCCTGGCTGCTGAGCCCAGCTCTGACCCCTCCACCAGGCTCAGGGCTCCAGCTGTGCAGGGGGATCTCAGCGAGAAGCCGTGAAATCTGCCGAGGGATGCAGCGGTCAGAGCAGCCGTCGCAGCGAAACCCTGCACTTGGTCCAGGCTGAGTGCAGGAACCTGCTGGTTTCCTCGGCCAGGCAGACAGTGCTGCAGCAGCCAGCCCAGCTTCGGGGTTCAGGGGCAGCTTCAAACTATCGCTTGAGCAAGGGGCCAGTAACTGAACTGGGAGCCTGCCACGTGTTTGCCGTCCAGAGGCTGCGCCCGCATGTCAGTTCCAGGGATAGCGGCTGTAATGGGGAGGCACTACGTGGAGTTCTGCCTCCCTGGCTGCCCCCATGCCTGGCAGGGCAGGGGAGGCTGCGGGAAGCCGCAGAGGCTGGGCCCAGACCCGTGGCTGGGGCTCAGTATCTGCCCCTGAGGGAGCCGGCCAGGTGGGGAGCCCTCTTCCGTGGGGGACCCCACGGTTCATTCCAGCCCTTGGCTGCAGCGGGGGGATCTGCACGGCTGATAACTGATAACGGCGGAGGCGGGGAGAGTTGGGAGGTAGTGAGGGAGAGGAGGAAACAGCCTGTATGAGAGAGAGACCGCAGAGACTGATTGCTTATAAATCACTCCTGGGGCTGCCAAGCCCTTGTGAGGCATCTGGTAGATTGCGTTATGCTATCTGAACAAAGTTTAATATAAAAAGCCAGTAATCCCCATGATAAGGGGGTGATAAGGGACAGTGTGGCCTTGGGTCCCACAGCAGCTGGCCTGGATGTGGCAGGGAGCTGGGGCCCAGCGCCCAGCCTCCCCCACCGTCCCCGGCACCTCTAGCCTCCCCAGGCAAAGCCAGTCGGTGGGCAGGGAGCGGGGCCCCGGCGAAGGGAGGGGGCAGCAACGTGGGAACCTGGTGCCCAGATGCCACCCCCTGCCAGCCTCTGCTCTGGCCCTCGGGGACACTGCCGGGGTCGTGCAGGCCCTGACCCGAGTCATGGGCAATGAGTCTGTGTGCAGCCCATCACAGCAGCGTGTGGAGCAGGGAGAAAGCGGCCTCTGCCTCGGGGTTGTGGGAATGGCCCACAGGCATCGGCCTGAGCTCTGTGGAAATGCCGCCCTTGAGCCAAGCTCCTCTCCTTGCACCCCAGGGGATGCAGCCCCTTCCCACACCAGTCCCTGCTGAGCGTCTGCAACAGCAAAGCCTGACAGCAAGAGAAACCTAAAAGCAGTCCCGAGAGGCTGAAGCAAAACACGGAGTTAACCCCTGCGGCTTTGAAGCTCTGGAAACCACGTGGCTCCACATTAAAGGACGCAGGGAAACTTTGCACAATGGCTTTGCTGCGTGCGCAGGCCGTGGCGGTCAGGCTCGGCCCCACGGGGCTGCGGGTGAGCAGAAGCAGGCAGCAGGGAGCCAAGCTGCAGGGCTGGGCGAAGCAGGCGAGGACAGGCTGGGACAGCAGGGAGGTGGGAGAGAAGAAGCTTTGAGCTCCATCAGGGTGGCACGGGCAGGCCGGGGCTGATAGCTGCCAGCTGCCAGCCACTGTGCCCGATAAAATGCCTCACGGATGCCTGAGCATGGGGTGGCGGGGGGGACGCACTCTGCAAAGCCAGGCTTTACATCCCGGGGAGGGAGTGGGATTTGTCAGCAGCTGGTGTATGGATGGCAGCTGAAGTTTACTGAGTTTGGTGGGTCTCAGCCCTGCTTCTACTGGAAAGAGTCCACAGCACTGAAACCACAACTAAAAAGCGAAGAAGGAGCCACTGGCTGAACCTCGCCACCTCCAGTGGGGTCCTGTCCACACCGCGCTGAGGCGTGCAGTGCCCAGGGAAGCCCGAATTTCTCAGACTCAGTCCTGCAAAGCATTTGTGGTCAGCTTTAGGTGTTGGGACTCGAGTGGTCCTGAGAGGGGGGGGGGGGGA